TTAGTAAGGAAAATTGATAGTTTCTTAGTTGGGAGAGATAGAAGTCGGTGAACTCTTTCCTTTCTTTATGGAGGGAGACATGCCTTTACCAAACCATCACCAATCATTCATCTAACTACTTTTTCATTACTTACATACTGTTTGATAGTTCTTCAACACAATATATATATATATATATAAATTTCAATCGTCTAATTTTTTAATATTTATATAAATTATGAATCGAACCCTTTTTAATAAAGTTAAAATTTTAAAAAATAATGAAAAAATTTGGTAGATAACACAATCTCTTAAAATATTTTTTGATTTTATATAATTGAATATAAATAAATTTAGACGTTTCACGTAATAGAATGAATTTGCTTTACTCGCCATATAAAACTATAAAGACCTAAATATAAGAGAAGCAGAGCTTTACTGCTCAGTTCAAATTGAAGTTAGGCGTGGAGGGACAAAATTTTGACGATATGGTATGTGTTATTTTTAAAATTTCTCTGAATTAATGTATATAAATATATTATTTTAAAAATTTTATATGTGATATATTAATTATGTAACAGAAAAATATATAATTATTGAGTTTTATATAAAGACTCAAATCACATAGTGTTAATAATTTAATTTTGAATTTTTGAAAGTCAGTGGTTCGAGTTCGAGAGATTGTTTCGAATTCAAGATTCATTATCCTACAATGGGCTAGACGACAATTATGTTTTCTACATGCTGACTGTTCGATAATCCTATGAGAATTTGTTTTATTGTGTTAACTATTCAGAGAAATCCAAATTAGACTATTGTTTTCAAATATGAAAATCTACACTGAAATGACATGATTGTGATGTAACTATTAAAGAATAATAGAAAAGAAAAATGGAGGCATCTGCAAATTTTATTCATCTTGTGACCTTCCAGGTTGGCCTCATATTTTCATGGATTGCCATCTGGTTATGTAAGAATGGCAGAAGGGTGACGAGAGCAAAAGTTTCTTCTTTTTTTTCTTCCAATAATCATTTCATAATTCATTAACTTGCAGAAATTCTACTGGTTTGATAAATTTTATATGTTTTTATGCATAGGAATTATCAGTGCTTCACCTTTTTATAATAGTATAAAGGTTTTCTTTTTGGAATCTGTTAGGCTGCTCTGTAGACTGAGGACTGAGGGGAAAAAGCTAAGTGGAACTGGGGCCATGACATTCAACTACTCCGCACTAGAAAGTCTTTTCAAATCCTTTTCCAGTCAATTTCCATGTCTGGACTGTTCATTCAAACTTCAAGGTTTCACACAGGAGGGAAAACTTGTCTTTATTTTTGCAGAACAGAAATGGAAGATCATCAAGAAGCCTCATGGGGATTAGTCTTCTGTTTCTTGCACTTTGCTTCACTCTTTTGTCTTTGTTTACCAACCGTTTGGTTGGAGTAGACACCATATCACCCACTCAACCAATCAATGATAATCAGATAATAGTCTCAAAGGATCAGAAATTCGAACTAGGCTTTTTCAATGCAGGAGATTCGTTTGATCGGTTTCTAGGAATTTGGTACAAGAACATTCCTGTTAACACTATTGTTTGGGTTGCCAACAGAGAGCAGCCACTTAGAAACTCCTCTGGAATCTTGAAACTTGATGATTCTGGTAAGTTGGTCCTTCTCAATCAGTCAGGAAATGTAATCTGGTTTTCAAACTCATCTCGAGCACTAAAAAATCCTGTGGCACAGCTGCTGGATTCAGGGAATTTGGTTCTGAAAGAAGCTGGGAATCACAATGCTAAAGATTATACATGGCAGAGCTTTGATTATCCTTCAGACACCTTATTGCCTGGCATGAAGCTTGGATGGAACTGGAAAACTGGCTTGAATGTATCCTTAAGATCATGGAAGAACTTAGATGATCCCTCTCCTGGTGAGTACACTTACAGTGTGGATCCTTCCGGACTTCCTCAGCTCGTTCTTCGGAAGGGATCGAATGTGCAATTCAGGAGTGGACCTTGGTACGGAACAGGGTTTAGCGGTGCTCCAACTCTGATTGGGAACCCAGTTTTTGTGCCAATTTTTGTGTCAAATGATGATGAAGTGTACTATTCATATCAGACTACTGGAAATGTCATCTCCAGGTTTGTAGTGAGTCATGCTGGGTCTGTCCAGCACCTTTCATGGAATGCTCGACGAACCACTTGGCATTTATTGTTCACAGTTCAGGGAGATCGCTGTGATACTTACGATCTATGTGGTGTTTATGGTAGTTGCAATATCGATAGAACTCCAAATTGCGAGTGTCTGGAAGGATTTGACCCCAAATCATCCAGAGACTGGGATATGCTTGATTGGTCTGGTGGATGTGTTCGAAAAGATCCTCTTGTTTGTGGACAAGGAGATGGCTTCTTGAAATTTACAGGGCTGAAACTGCCAGAATCTTCTCAGTTTCGGGTGAATGTAAGTATGAGTATCAAAGATTGCAGGACACTATGCTTGGATAGTTGTTCCTGCACAGCTTATGCTGAGCTGGATATCAGTGGTAATAGCAGTGAATGTGCAACCTGGTTTGGAGATTTGATCGATATCAGACGGGTGGGGGAATATGGGCAAGATCTTTATGTAAGAGTAGCAGCTTCTTCACTAGGTGAGAAATTCTCAAGCTTCTTGCTTTGCTGTTCAGTTTTCTGTCCATAGTAACTCGATGTACTATAATTTTTCTTTCTCGGTTATAAGGACGTCCGAATCCTGGTGAAGGTACGAAGCGAAAGGAAATGGTGATTGTTATCACCATATCAATGGCTGCAATACTTACCATCTTGGCTTCTGTTGGCTTGTTCTTGTTCTTGAAGAAGCAAGGAAGAAAAGGTAAAACCCATATCAATCTAGTACTTTCTTGTGATGTTACTGATATAGAGCTATTCCAATTTTTCTATAATTATTTTACATATTTTTTATAGAACATAATTCAATTTACTTTTTCATCATTGTTACTTGGTTCTTCTTATAAATAGGAAAATACCAAGAGAAGAATCAAGTTAGCATGAGCAGAATTGAAGATCAGGAAGAAGACCTTGAACTCCCACTGTTTGAACTGCCTGCAATCATGGTTGCCACTAACAACTTCTCCCCATCAAATAAAATTGGGGAAGGTGGATTTGGCCCTGTATACAAGGTAAGCTTCGACTTTACACCTCAATTCCAGGTCGAATTTTTCATTTGTAGAATAATATTATTAATGGTTTGCAGGGGGTGCTACAATCCGGACAAGAAGTAGCAGTAAAAAGGCAAGGAGAGTTTTCAGGACAAGGACTTCAAGAATTCAAGAACGAAGTGATTTTCATCTCAAAGCTTCAGCACCGGAATCTGGTAAAACTTCTAGGCTGTTGTATTCAAGGAGAAGAACGAGTGTTAATCTATGAGTACATGGCAAACCGAAGCTTGGACTCTGTAATCTTTGGTTGGTATCTCATCTTTTCCTTCATGTACTTCCTTGATAAGTAACACTGAAACTATTTCCTAAGCTATCTTGATTTGCACAATTGAAGCAGATGAAACAAGACGCTATATGCTTAATTGGAAAAAGAGACTAGATATAATCATTGGAATAGCTCGAGGACTTCTTTATCTCCATCGAGATTCAAGACTCAGAATCATCCACAGGGATCTCAAAGCCAGTAATGTTCTATTAGACAATGATATGAACCCAAAAATTTCTGATTTTGGGATGGCAAGAATGTTTGGTAGTGACCAGACTGAAGCAAACACAAAGAGGGTAGTTGGAACCTAGTGAGTATTTGTGTTTATTTACAAAGTTTGATATAAATTTAGTGCTGAAAAAAACATTACCTTGATGGATGCAGTGGTTACATGCCTCCGGAATATGCAATAGATGGAAACTTCTCGCTAAAATCTGATGTCTTCAGCTTCGGTGTTATACTGCTGGAGATCATAAGTGGGAAGAAAAACCGGGGATTTTTCCATCCAGACCATAAATTCAACCTTCTGGGGCATGTAAGGGCACATAGTTTAGATTAATCCTGCTTAGTTTCTGATCATTGTTTGGTATAATCCTCTTACACAAAATTGATTCTACAATAGGCGTGGAAGCTATTTAACGAGGGAAAGGCCCGGGAACTAGTAGACAAATCGCTGGAAAATGATCAAGTTCCTGAATCTGAGGTAATAAGGTGTATACAAGTAGGTCTGTTTTGTGTCCAACAAAGGCCAGAAGATAGGCCAACAATGCAGTCTGTGCTATCAATGCTTGATAGTGAGACAGTTTTTTCGCAACCTGATCAACCAGGAAGACCAGGATTTTATGCTGAGAGATGTCTTTCAGAGGTAACGGACTCATCATCTATCGGAAAGCTCATGTCCAACGAGATGACTGTTACGCTGGTGGAGGGTCGATAACAGTTCTGTGAATTTTGTACTGATGAGTACTGACAAATCAGATTTTATCTACTTAATGATATCTAGTCCTCCTTCGGAAGTAATGTACATTATGAAGAAAATGTATAAATCTAATAATATATTTGTTAGTTTGATATAGAACTCTATTGATATCTGCTTAGTTATAATATAATCGTAAATTCACATAAGACATAATTATAAATTAGAGTCAAGTCTCGAGAACCTTGAGCACGATATAATACAAAAGACGACACGAGCTTATTGAGTAAAAAGCACTCAAGAGTAAGCGTGATGAAAACCAGAACAGAGTCTTGTATAATGATAAGGACAAGACTCAACTATATTTTAGACCAAGTCTAGAAACAAATTAGCAAGGGCTGACAAAGAAGTGAAAGTTTCTACTAGTCCTTATCAAAGCTAATAATTGTGAAGGACTTTGTCAAAATGGAAAGCATGGAGGTGGTGGTTTCACACTTCACCATGAATTAATTATCTCATGGTTTTCATTTAGTTCTCAGATTTCTCTAAGATAAATTTGCAGGTTTTCAGTCGTTAAGAATTTTTTGATTTTTTTTCTTAATAAATAAAAGGCTAAATAAATTTACAACTGTATATTAACATATATGAATATAGAAAATAAAAAAATTCCTCAAAGATTATCCGATTTTGACGTTAATTAACTGAATTGAGAGTCTCACATTTAAGATTTGAATGATTGCATTCTCAATTGCCTTTACACACACGCACATATATATATATATATATTTATTAGGAGCATTAATTGTGTTGAATATCTGATATATTCATTTCTTTGTAATACATTATGGTAGTTTGTGGTGCCAAGACATCATAAAGCATCTAACATCACAGGAGTTTTACTGTTTAGTTTATACCATATAATTCAAGAAGCCCCCAATAAAATCTTTAACCTGGTAAAAAGCAAATCTCAGAAACATGGTTTCATGAGGAAGATGAAACAGTCAAACAGATTAAGGTTACGGAGTCTTTATCAGAAGCAATTAGAGCTGGACACCACTCGGTAGCTACCTCTTGATATTTGTATTTATTGTCCCCAACTGTACTAACCAACCATATTATAAAAGCAGAAAAAATTAAAAGCATATCAATCCGCATATGATCTCAAAATGATCTTAAACCGGCCATGGAACCTGTAAAAGGGTTACTATTCACATGGTTTCTTTTCCTTCTTTTTCACTCGTCTCTTTCCATTGACACCATTAGAGCAAACCTACCCATCAATGATGGGGACTTGATAGTCTCCAAAAGAGAAAGATTCGTTCTTGGATTCTTCACTCCTGGTAATTCTAACAACAGATATGTTGGTATCTGGTATTATCCAGTTTCAGAGCAAACTGTGGTGTGGGTTGCGAATAGAGACAACCCCATTAATGATACCTCAGGGACAATCTCCATTGACGATCATGGCAATCTTGTGGTGTATAAAAGAAATGGAACACTACCTGTCTGGTCTACAAATTCTACTCTCACGGCCAAGAAGAGTAATTCTGTCGCTCAGCTTTTGGATTCTGGAAATCTTCTTCTTCTTGACAATTTAACAGGAGAGGTTTTATGGCAGAGTTTCGATCATCCTACGCATTGCATGCTTCCATTTATGAAACTCGGGTTGACCCGAACGACAGGTATGAACCGATTCCTAACTTCTTGGAAGTCTCCGGATGATCCCGGAACAGGAAACTACTCCTACCGGATAAACCCAGATGGGTTTCCTCAATTGATGCTGTACAAAGGTTCAGTACCCATATGGCGAACCGGGTCATGGACCGGGCAGAGATGGAGCGGTGTACCCGAAATGACTCGTAGTTATATCTTCAATACTAGCTTTATAAACAACCCAGATGAGATATCAATCACGTATGGTGTAACTAACGATTCAATCATAACAAGAATGGTATTGAACGAGACTGGATTGCAGCAACGGTTTACATGGAATGATCGGGTCGGTAGATGGATCGGTTTCTGGTCCGCCCCGAAAGAGGAGTGTGACTTTTACCAGCATTGTGGTCCGAACAGTAATTGTGAACCGTTTCCGGAGAAATTTGAGTGCACGTGCTTACCCGGGTTCGAACCCAGGTTACCACAAGAATGGTTCTTGAGGGACGGGTCGGGCGGGTGCGTACGGAACCGTGGAGCATCCACGTGTCGAAGTGGAGAAGGGTTCGTGAGGTTGTCGCGTGTGAAGGTACCCGACACGTCATTCGCACGTGCGGACTTGAATTTGGGATTGAAAGAGTGCGAGCAGAGGTGTTTGAGTAATTGTTCATGTGTGGCTTTCTCAAGTGCTTATTATGAAAGTAATGGAGGGACAGGTTGCCTGACATGGTATGGAAATTTGCTGGATGCAAGAACTTATCAAGCTGCAGGACAAGATTTTTATGTCCGTGTAGACGCAGCTGAATTGGGTATATACATATATACATACATATATATATGTAGATATAGAACATTTGCTTATATAGTTTATGTAGCACATAAGATCAATTGTTTTCTCATCGATTACTTTTAGCTCGTTGGAGGAAGAATGATTCACTAGGGAAGAAGAAGATTATTGCGATTGTATTAGCTTGTGTTGCTGGAATATGTGTTATAGCTGGTTCGGGGTACTGTTTGGTAAGAAGGAAAATGAGAGGTACTGGTTAATAATTTTGATCTTTTCTTGTTTTTACCGATTAAATATTCAGCAGAATATATGTACATGTGTGTATGTATATAAGTACGTGTTGATTGATTTTCAGAGAAGAGAAGGATGGCGGAATTCCCTTTCAGTTTAACCACGGGTTCAGCATACTTAGACGACAGTGCAAATGAGCTCGAAGATAGCAGACAAAACAGAGATTTACCTTTCTTTGATCTCGCCACCATAGCCAAATCCACCAATAATTTCTCCATTGATAACAAACTTGGTGAAGGAGGTTTCGGTTCTGTTTATAAGGTAATGTTTATTATTTTCTGTATATATAAATGATAAAATTAAGAATAATGGATCACTTTTAACAACTAAATTATAAGAACTTAGGCTGTGTTTTAGGGTTTTATAATTGCATTAATGATAGAGATGGATTGTTGAAGGTAATGCAGGACTGGATTTGCTTGATTTAAAGGATGATTAATTGAATGTTATTCAGGGTGTTCTACAAAATGGAAAAGAAATAGCAGTGAAGAGATTGTCAAAGCACTCTGGACAAGGAGTTGAGGAATTCAAGAATGAGATTACTTTGATTGCAAAACTGCAACACAGGAATCTGGTAAGGATTCTTGGTTGCTGCATTGAAGGATCAGAGAAGATGTTAATCTATGAGTATTTGCCAAACAAGAGCTTGGACTCTCTTATATTTGGTATTTGATCTCATATTTTTGCCACAGATGTACAAGTACTATAGAATTTATGGATCAATGACTTGCTTTTTTGTTTTTTCAACAAAAAATCCAGATAAAACAAAAGGATCACAGCTAGATTGGAATAAACGGTTTGAGATTATTTGTGGTACTGCTCGGGGAATCTTGTATCTTCATCAAGATTCAAGACTGAGAATCATCCATAGAGATCTCAAGGCCAGTAATGTCCTACTAGATGCATCACTGAACCCAAAAATATCAGATTTTGGTATGGCAAGAATCTTCGGAGGAGACCAAGTTGAGGGGAATACAAAACGTGTTGTTGGAACATAGTAAGTACTCTCTGGACTGCACAGTCCATTTCTATTATAATTTTTATCTGGTAACATAATTATTATAGTTAGAAGTGCCTAACAAATACATAATTAATTTGCAAATTTTTATATTTTGCGCTGCTAATATCACGTGCCCTGTGCTCTTGCAGCGGCTATATGTCACCAGAATATGCGATGGAGGGTTTATTTTCAATAAAATCTGATGTATACAGTTTCGGTGTATTACTTCTAGAGATCATTTCTGGTCTAAAGAACAGCAGTTACTATAGTGAAAGTCGCGCAGCAAATTTAGTTGGACATGTAAGCTGATTTATCAATTTATTTCATCTGGCTGCAATATATTTCTATTTGATGTGTTAAACACCTACATATATGTCTATTCATAGGTTTGGGATCTGTGGAAAGAAGGAAGAGCAATGGAGATAGTTGATAAGTCATTATGTGAGTCCAGTAGAGATATGGAGATTCTGAGGTGCATCCAAATAGGGCTGCTGTGCGTGCAAGAACATGCAGGAGATAGACCAACAATGTCAACAGTTGTGTTCATGTTGGGGAATGATGCAGCTGCTCTGCCTTCTCCTAAACAGCCTGCTTTTATCTTGAAGAAAATCCAACAGGGAGATGATGTATCTTCTAGCCAAGGAGCTGGTAGCTCTGTAAATGAAGTTACTCTTACTTTGGTTCAGGGTCGATAGGAAAGAAACATTTCCAGGGAAAGAAATAGAATGTGGTAGGCTTCTTTAGTTGGGATGGGGTAGTTAAAATCTGACATAAAAACAAATCAATAAAAAGATCCAAGCAGAAGAATAAGATATTCAGGGGAGCCAAGGACCTTCTAGCCAGGGAGCTGGTAGCTCTGTAAATGAAGTCACTCGTTACTTTGGTTAGGAAGGAACATTCCCGGCAAAAGAAATAGAAAGATAGGCTTTCAGAATTTGATAGTTAAAATCTGTACATAGAAGCAAATCAATAAAATAAAAAATCCAAGTAGAATAATTAGATGTTTCTGTTTATTCTCTCTTTCTAGCCTTGTTCTTCTTCATCTTCTTCATTGTTCTGCTCTTCTTCTTCAGAAATTTCAATGAAGATCAGAGCATCCTGACACAAAGTCATACACCAAGATCATTAGTGTTATCAGGTTGCGCTATGATGCTGAGTTAAGGGTGTGTGTATATATATGTATATATATATATATATAAGATTAGAATGTGAGTGTAAATATGAGAAAAGATAATCGGCAGGGAAGATGATGATTGTGATATAATATACGTATAACAGTTTAATGTAATCATAAGTGGCAGTGGAAGTTCATAACTTGCAGCAAAACTGAATTAGGAAACCAATTAAATACAGAAATTAGTATAAGTAGTTGAAAATTATGCAAAATATTGTATAATTATGAAACAGGTTATAATAGTGCATATGGGGAAAAATTATTCTTCCTCGATGTTACATAAAATGGAATTTTTATCAAAAAATTTTATATCAAAAGAGCACATGAGAAAATTCTAATTGTCTCCGTATACGTTAATGACATGATAATAATAGAAGAAGATCCTGAACTCATTTAATAATTTAAAGTTCAAATGAAGAAAGTTTTCAAAAATAATTAAATATTTTTGGGTATGGAAGTGGAGTAATCGAGAAATGATATTTTCATATGCAATAGAAATATCGAAGAAATTTCACGTGATATATTGCAAGTCTCTGAGGGTATTCCGACATTTATAGATAAAAAAATTGAGTAAAGAAGTTGATAGAAAGAATGTTGATGAAAGTTAATATTATGTTTGTTACGAGTATTTTTCTTATTGATTTACTTCTATATCGAATTTTAATTATTCCAATTAAAGAAACTTACTATTCTACTCATTTAACCGGGAATGTTCCTTTTCTAGCGACCTTGAGTCAAAGTAAGAATGACTTCATTTACCGAGCCACCAGCTTCTCGGCTAGAAGATCCATCATCTCCCTGTTGGATTTTCTGCAAGATAAAAGCAGGCTGTTTAGGAGAAGGCAGAGCAGCTGCATCATTCCCCAGCATGAACACAACTGTTGACATTGTTGGCCTATCTCCTGCATGTTCTTACACGCACAGAAGTCCTATTTGGATGCACCTCAGAATCTCCATATCCCTACTAGACTCACATAATGACTTATCAACTCTCTCCATTGCTCTTCCTTCTTTCCACAGATCCCAAACCTATACATAAGACATATATGTAGGTGTTTTAACACATCAAATAGAAATATATTGCAGCCAGGTGAAATCAATTGATAACTCAGCTTACATGTCCAACTAAATTTGACTGCTGTTCTTTAGACCAGAAATGATCTCTAGAAGTAATATGCCCAAACTGTATACATCAGATTTTATTGAAAATAAACCCTCCATCTCGTATTCTGGTGACATGTAGTCGCTCCAAGAGCACAATTCTGTTATATTACATGTACAGAATATAAAAAGATCTGCAGATTATTTATGTACTTATTAGGCAATTCTAACTATAACAGTTATGTTAAGAGATAAAAAATTATAATAGAAATGGACTGGTGCTCTCCAAAGAGTACTTACTATGTTCCAACCACACGTTTCGAATTCCACTCAACTTGGTCTCCTCCGAATATTCTTGTCATTACCGAAATCTGAAATTTTCAGATTCAGCGATGCATCTAGCAGAACGTTACTAGTCTTGAGATCTCTACGGATTATTCTCAGTATTGAATCTTGATGAAGATACAAGATTCCCTGAGCAATACCGCAAGTAATCTCAAACCGTTTATTCCAATCTAGCCGTGACCCTTTTGTTTCATCTGGATTTTTTTGTTGAAAAAAACAAAAAAAGCAAGTTATTGATCAACAAATTCTATGGTGCTTGCACATGTGTGGCAAGAATATAAGATCAAATACCAAATATAAGAGAGTCCAAGCTCTTGTCTGGCAAATACTCATAGATTAACATCTTCTCTGATGCTTCAGTGCAGCAACCAAGAAGCCTTACCAAATTCCTGTGTTGAAGTTTTGCAATCAAAGCAACCTCATTCTTGAATTCCTTAACTCCTTGTCCGGAGTGCTTTGACAATCTCCTCACTGCTATTTCCTTTCCATTTTGTCGAACACCCTTAATAACATTCAATTAATCATCCTTTAAATCAAGCAAATCCAATCCTGCATTACCTTCAACAATCCATCTCTATCATTAATGCAAGTATAAAACTCCAGAAGACAGCCTAAGTTTTTAGTTTTATCATTTATGTACACAGAAAATAATAAACATCACCTTATAGACAGAACCGAAAGACCCTTCGCCAAGTTTGTTATCAATGGAGAAATTATTTGTGGGTTTGGCTAAGGTGGTGAGATCAAACAAGGGGAAATCTCTGTTTTGTCTACTAACTTCGAGCTCTTTTTCACAATCGTCTAAGTATGCTGAACCCAGGGTAAAACTGAAAGGGAATTCCATCATCCTTCTCTTCTCTGAAATCAATGAACACGTACTTATATATATATATATATGTATTCTCTGGTTAATATTTAATAGACAAAAACAATAAGAGATCAAAATTATCAACCAGTACCTCTCATTTTCCTTCTTACCAAACAGTACCCGGAACCAGCTACGACACCTATTCCAGCAACACAAGCTAATACAATCACAATGATCTTCTTCTTCCCAAGTGAATCATTCTTCCTCCAACGAGCTAAAAGTAATTGACGAGAAAACAAGTGATCTTATACGCTATATAAACTATATAAGCAAATGTTCTATATCTTACACATGTATACCTAATTCAACTGCGTCTACACGGACGTAAAAATCTTGTCCAGCGGCTTGATAAGTTCCTGCATCCAGCAAAACTCCATGCCATGTCGAGGATCGGCAATTAGTTAACGAAGCTTTTAATGTGCCTTGGTTGCCAACAAAAAAGTCCAACTGAAATCAAATATTATAATCTTTCAGCAGTGACAATTTCTAAGAACTCAATGCGTGTATGCATACATACATATAAAACATAGAATGTTGGTGTAAACATAAGAAAGGACAGCGGCAGGGAAGATGATGATTGTGATATAATACATATATATGCGTGTATATATATATATATATATATGTAGCAGTTATTGTAATAAAAAGTGGTGGTGGAACTCGATAACTTGCAAAACTGAAACAGAAAACGAATTAGATACAGAAATTAATACAAGTACGTGAAATTGATGAAAAATATTGTATAATTATGAAACAGTTCTTCCATACTCACTTGAATCTAATCATATCTCAAAGGTAAAGTAAAACTTCAAAAGAAATCAGGAAAAACTATAAGAAAATTATACGTAAATTAATTAGTTCAAACGCATGTAATAATGTACGTGGGTAAAAACTATTTTTTTTTTTTCCCGCTATGACATAAAATGGAATTTTTCATCAAAAATCTTATAAGTAATCATTTAAAATTAATAAAATAAATTTATTAAATTAATTTTATTTTACGTGATTCTATATTGTGCCTACATTAATAATAAATTAATTTATAAAAAAATTATGAGTTAAATTTTTTTTAAATATATAAAAAAAAATTTTAATGATAATTATAAAATTTTTTAAGATAAATACAAAATATCTCTATCAATGTTTCAAAATTCAACCAATATATATATATATATGTGTGTGTGTGTGTGTTTGAGGATGTGTATAGAATTAGCCAAATTAATAAGAGACATTTGTATTGTATCACATACCTATATAAACTGCCATACACGTGGCAATCCTCATTGATCACGTTCACTATTTTTTATCACAATTATTATATTAATATTTATTTATTTATTTTTAATTTTATAATAAAAGTCGGACCCATTTTCTATTCTTTTCGAGCACGTCAACTCGTAATATTATAATTTTTTTTTTGTTTTTTTTTTAATAATAAACTAAACGAGAGGTTGAGATTATTTCAATTGTCTCGTCCGCCTGTTACTCTCTACGTTTTGTATGCGTGTGTGTATGTATACCCATATATATATATAGCAGACATATATGTATATGTATATGTATGTTATTTCTCTTGAACTACACATCACATCTAACCCGTCTCTCTTTTGACAGCTTCTCATCCTCATGTCTTACTTTTATGTGATCTTCAAAATTTAAATCCGTAGTTATAATGTATACAAACCATCTCTAACCTCAACTTTCAAGATTACGTAATATATACATATAAAGGGGAATGTGTGTGTGTATATATATATAGATATAGATATATATAGATATGGGTTAGGATCATACACTTTTCAGGATACCATAGTTGCCTAATTATCAAAGCTTAGTTAATGTTGGAGTTATTGTAGTAGTCATAAGTGGTCCAAGCTACTTTCTTCAATCACGGGTTAATGGAAGTTCAAAGACAAACATATGTCTTCTCACCCACTTTTCCCAATTAAATTAAAAACAAAGTTATGAATTTCTAATTGCCAAATAATCATTATATATATATATATAATCATATGTTATTTATATCTGTTAAATTGAGATAATTAAATTATATTTATAAGTAAAAATAAACATTTAAGAATGATTAAGTTATTCTTACAAAAAAAAAAAAATTAATGTGTATATTTAATTGATATTATTTTTAAGTATTTTATTTCAAAATTTAGTTTATAACAATTTTTTAGAAAAAATAAATAATGGATTCATTTGATAACAAGTTTAATTTATTAAAATTTACTCAAATTCGACCTAATATATATATATTTATGTAACTACGAATACACAAATATATATATAACGAATAAGATATTTATACAAGAATCGAGTTAAATGCAGACTAAATAATCTTTAAATTTAATATATATTAGAAAATAAAAATAAAAAAATTTAAACCCATCTAAAATTTCGAAAAAGTTTGAAGTTATATGTTATAGATTCGTATTAATTTCGAGTTTGATTAAACACGACGCAAATCCGACCCGTTGTCGATGCTAATTATATGTTTTATAAAATAAAAATTAAAAAAAAAACAAAGGGTGTAGGAACTAACTAGCAACATTGTCAATAACAATTTGTAGAGTGTGCGGTGGGAACATAAGATTTTCCAAAAGAGGAGAAACGTGTCATCATATAACTGTCTAGCCGGCCATATTTTTTTTGACTTTTTAAACCGGTTTGACTCGACAATAACTACTGTTTCCAACAAGGGTGTTATAGTAATTTCAACTAATCCAATCACTCGTGATTACGACCTACCTCCCCACCCCGTCACCCTAGACTTTTTTCCCGTGAAAGTCACTGCTAACCCCTCGACTCTTTTTATTTTTAAATTTTTAGATGGCAATTAACCGTTATGAAATTAAAAGGTGAGTTTCCGAAAATGCCCCTGGAAGGCTATTCTTGTCATTAACGAAAAAGTTGAGAGAATGATGAGTTTCCCTCTTTGAAAAGGAAGACTGATAACGTTGCAAAAGTAACTCAGTGACCGTGAATTACGAAAATAACCTTAGGTAGTTGGTAGTTAAAATTCATTTTTTTTTAATCAAAAAATAAAAAAATTCAGATTTTAGGCAGTTGGTAGTTAAAATATTTAATAAAAATAAATTTTTTTATCAAAGAATAAAAAAAAAAATTTGAATCTTTTACAAAAAATTATTTAGAAGATCCAAAACTAAAAAAAATAATATTCCATAGGCATATTTTAGATAGTCTGATATGAGATTTTAAATAATCTGGTAGTTAAATATTTTTATTAAAAAAATAAATTATAATCTCTTTAAAAAATTTATTACGAAAATTTAAAACTAAAAATACTAATATTTATTAACAATAACATAATAAAAATAGTCCATCAATATAGATAATTGAAAATCTGATTAAAATTTAATATAAATAATTAATATAATGGGTATTTTATAATTTTTATTAAATTTTGGAAAGAATTATTCTTAATCAATATAAAAAAAAAATTTAATTTTAAACTTTAGTAAAATTACAGTGACTGATTACTATTTTAAATCATAATTATAATTATGAAAGGTTAAAAAATTATTGTGCCGGTCATAATTTTTAATATATTTTTTAATTTAAAAGAAATTCTTTTGATGAATATATATCCAAACCTTCTAAAACGGTCAACAGTTTTGAAATTTTTGGAACATTTGTAAGGGTAATATGGTCATTGTACACACTGTAGCAGAGCTTAACGAGCTAGGGTCTCTGGTTTTCCATTATCGCAGGTGAATATCAGTCCCTTCCTCCTCCAAAAACCTCTTAAACCCTTCATTAAGCTTTGAAGCTGAATTTTACAGAGAGAAATAAAGGGGGAGCGAGTTACAGGAAAATGGCGATTCAGTTTCCGGACGATTTCAAGTGCCCGATTTCGCTGGAGATAATGTCCGACCCGGTTATACTCCAAACGGGTCACACTTTTGACCGGGCATCAATCCAACGGTGGCTGGACTCCGGTCACCGGACATGTCCAATTACAAAGCTGCCTTTGCCGGAACATCCTTCTCTCATCCCTAACCATGCGTTGAGGAGCTTGATTTCCAATTATGCCCTTGTCGCCCCGCTGAAATCGCAACCGAGTTCGCACGCGGAACCTCAGGCGCTAATCTCTACTCTCACCGCCAAGTCCTCGTCTCTGGAGTCGAAGCTTGAGTCACTTGTCCAACTCACCAGGCTTTCCAAACGCGACTCGGCGTTTCGAAGGAGGCTAACTGAGTCAGGCGCCGTCCCGGCGGTTCTCTGCTGTGTTGACACGGCCGATCAGAGTTTGCAAGAGAAAGCTCTTTCGCTGTTGTTAAATCTCAGCCTCGACGATGACAACAAAGTGGGTCTGGTTGCGGAAGGAGCAGTTGGTCGGGTCGTGGGTGTTCTACGAGGAGGTTCGCCGGATTGCAGAGCGCTGGCGGCTACTGTTTTGACGAGTTTGGCTGTTGTTGAAGTGAACAAAGCCACAATCGGAGTGTATCCTGATGCGATTCGGTCCCTAGTTTCGGTTCTCCGAGACGGCAAAGGCAGAGAGAAGAAGGAAGCGGCGACGGCGCTTTACACCCTCTGTTCCTTCCCGGATAATCGTAAGCGGTGTGTGGATTGTGGAGCTGTGCCCATTTTGATCCGGGTTGCGGATTCTGGCCTTGAGAGAGCCGTAGAGGTGTTGGGTGTATTGGTTAAGTGTAAAGATGGTAGAGAGGAGATGGGGAGGGTTTGTGGTTGTGTTCGGGTTTTGGTTCGGGTATTAAAGAACGGGACTTCAAGAGGAATTCAATACGCACTATTCACGTTGAACTGTTTGTGTTGTTATAACCAGGAAATGTGCCCTGAAGTGAGGAGAGAGGGAGTTTTGGAGATTTGTATGGGTTTAATGGAGGATGAGAATGAGAAGGTTAGGAGAAATGCTTCCAATTTGGTTCAGACTTTGCGCGGAAATAGGTTGATTGGGTGATTCCATGTCTTGAGATCACAATGTGAAATGGAAGGGAAAAAGGATGGGATGGATTTACCCTTGAGTGGTTGTTGTTCTTGTAGTCAATCTGGCTATGGAGGTGAGTTGGGGTGAATTTTTGTGTTTACTTACGGGTTATCTCCATTTCTCCTTTTGTAGTTCATGTACAAAAAAAGGATTAGGATTTTGTGGGAGGAAATGGTTTGTGTTTTTTTTTTCTTTTTTCCTTTCTCTTCTTTTGTACATTTGAATAAAGATGACACGGATGGGATCCCACTCTGTTCTTTTAGATGTTTTTTGTTTGAAAGTGCATCAAATTTGTTATTTGAAATGTAACTCGTCTCAATCTTAGAAAAATTTATAAATTTTGAAGCATATGTATATAAATCATTCATCAAGTCCTTCTGAACTTTATCAACTATCGTCTAGTATTTTGTTTGTGTAAATCATAAAGCTGGTGAGAGAAACGGGAAGTGGAGAAACTAAATTGGTATATTGTTATTTGATGAACCCCAAGTTGTTGCTCATGCTTTCATTTTAAATAGCAGGGTATACCGGAAGTTCGAATGAGAAGCATACCTCAAATTGGTTCAGGAAGTACTTTTAAAGTTTGTTATAGTACTGTTCTGTTTCTTGATTAGATGCCTCATGATTGATGTTGTTGCCTCTTCAAGCTCAAATATTACTTCTTATCTCACTGTTTTGCCTTTGCTCATAATCATTGGCTATCCCATATGAGGGAACACAGTCATATATATGATGGTTCTTTACTACTTCGTGCTTATTGTGTTTCCAAGTGTTCATGAATTAATGGTTAACCGATATCGGAAAATGACCTTCTTATATGTTGACATAGATTTGCTCTATTGGTGACTGTTTGGTTGCCTATTTGTTTGGATAATTAGGAACCCTATCATGAAGTGAATGTTAATAGTAATTTTCTTTAATTTTTGAAAGAGACATGAAAGTTGGTTTAAGATACACAAGGACTGGTGCAACGATTTTATGTATGATGTGGATTATGGTTGTATCCAGAGCATGATTTGAGAAGAAGAGAATTGATGGAAAGATTGGCTCTGATCTTTGGTAATCTATTACTTATAATATTTTAATTTAGTCATAAAACAGGTATCGAAGGATGACTTCGTCATAAAAATGTTGAATCTGACTTTTCTTGTAGCAGTTGGGACCTATTTCGTACTTGATTAACAATTGTTAAGAGTTGTTATGGTGTTTGCCTAGAGATGGCTTGGCAGATGTAAGCAAGGTTAAGTAAACTATCTTCAACCAGAGGTTGTTGAATTCCTTTGCAGGTTGGTCTGATGTGCCTTGTATATACATATCATTTGACTGAGATATTTAGATTGGTTACTCTTGTTCTAATAATTTACTCAATCCACGAGGTCCACCAGAGCCACAATTTGTCATTTATGTATATCAAAGATTTTGCAGTCACCTTCACACAGCACCGGAGCCTTCTCATTTCGCAGGATGAGGGCTTCTTAACTATACAGGAACTAAAATCTTCCCCAGTTCAGCCATTTAATATTCGACAAACATTTCTTTGATATCATGTACTCTTTAGATTTCTGTACGTGTCCATCTCCTCCCTTGTCATTCATTTTTTGTTGTCCTTAGTTTTATTAACTTGCTTGTCACTGTCTTATCATGTTACTGCATTCTGTGCAAGTTTGTTCTATTCATTGATATCTATCCGGATTATGGAAACAGGTACCTTTTCAATAGTGGATTTGTTAATGTTGTCTTGAATTTAGTAGAGTTCATATTCTGAGTTATGCAGGTTGTTTTATCAGCACAAAATTTTCCTCTAGGCCACTTTAAACTTCATTTCAAGGTTGTTTTTGCATAGACAACTGCTGATCTATATTAAAATATAGTTTTGGTTGTCAACCTGATTCATCTTCTCTCCTGTGTTTCAGGTGCTCTACGTGCATTCTTTATGTATATATGTTGATTGGATGTCCGCATTTCAGGTGTCCAACATGCCTTGTTTGTGATAAATTTATTGATTACATATAGGTACGTTCTAGATCTTCCATTCTCTTTCTAATTGGATAAAAGATAGGATTAGTTATTGTCATGAGTACTGCTGAACAGCCGAATAAAATATTTTGGTCAGCTTCTTTTCGGTTGGTAATTGGTAGGTTTTTTTTAAAATTTGATTCTTTAATCACTTGAAGAAGCTATCTATCTTATTCCATTAATATTTATTTAAACGTTGAGGGGCTGCTCTGGTAGCCAAAATTGACTAGGGTTTCATTCCTTTTGTGGTCCCACGAGAAAAAAAGAAAGTTAAAAAAGATAAAGTTGGTTCTGTTTAATCTTTTGTTTTCAGCAGTAACTGCGGGCTATTACAGGATTGTTAAACAAGAAACCATTTCTTATTGGTCTTTTGGGCATGTTTTCTCTGTCTCTCCTTTTTGATTAGTTATTCCATCTCTTTTTTCAAATCTAAAGCTTCGTTTTATGTGGTTGGTGTAGAACATGAAATGTGGTTCGCTCTTTTGATGGTTGAGAAGTTTTGAACGTAACACTAAAAATAGGAGTTTCGAGGCGAGGCAGAACAGGTTTTCATCGTCCAATTCCTTCCTTTTTTACGTCTTTGTCCTGTGAGAACATGTATGTGGTTTCATTACTGGTGGATGAAACATTCTTGGGAGGTAATTTTGTCTAAGCACGGGTGTCGATTTAATTAGTAGGGAGAAAAAAAAAAAAGCATCTAAACATAAGTGAATGTCTCCTGAAAGAAGCAATTTTCATGCTTCTACTTCACACATGTTTTCTATTTTCACCATTGAATCATTGATAGAAATGGGAAAAGAAGCCTTTTCTTGGTGGTCCAAAGAATGCTATTAATTTCTCCCTCTTTGGATCTTGTTCTTTGTCTTTACTTTTTTTGACAGGGACACACCTCAGGGAAACAACTATTTTTCTCAAACAAAGTGAGAGCAGAATGGAGTAGAAAATTATGATTGAGTTCCTCTGATGGGTGATCTTTTTCATTCCTTGCCTCCTCAAGAGGTAACACTATGCCACTATCTGCTGCATAAATAGTGGCCACTTTTCTTTTGTCTGGCAACGTTTGAGAAATGAATTAGGCCAAGAAGCAAGAACTTTCCCTTATGAAATTGTAGATGCTCCAGTTGAATAGCTGGTCATGAAAGTAATTATTTGATATTTGAGTTTGGTAGTCTTAGAAATACTTGCCCCATACATCTTTATTGTTAGCATGTAATTATTTGACTGCATGTGTCAAAATTTAAAGGCAAATAATATTGCGGGTTGGGTCAGGTTGGCCCAGTAACTAGTGGGTTTACTTCGGCCTTTCTGGTTCTTATACTATGCAGAGTGGGTTGGGCCTAGAGACGAGAGATTGGGCAGTTTGCACATTTGTGGGCTTGATCCATTATGGACTAGGCCCAACTTAGGTCCATTTGTCTGAACGGACCAGGTTGGGGGAGCCCGATGCCTAGTGAATATTATATTATCGTTACCATCATTATTAACTAATAATTTTTAGGGCCACGACCAAGCCACAAACCGACTTTTTTGCGATCTAATAGGGTTGGACAGATGTGCATAGTGGGCGAGTTCGGCTCATCTCAGCCCAGTTCTCTATTGGATTGGGCCAAGCTCAACCTGTTGGATCCTATGTTTGGATCATCGGGTCGATTCGACATGTCTACCATGGCCATTAGACAATGTACTTGGACCCAATTCATTGGTTTGAAACCATTGTTGATTCAATTTACCCAACCTTTGTGGAATTGGTAACATCCCTTTTAGCACATGGAGATACATGTGTATCTGTGTGTGTATGTATGTATATATATACATATACAAGTAGAAGTCACAAGAGAGTTAATATAAATTGTTGGTGAGGGAGTGTGATGTATGATTTGATCTCCTCTTCACTGTTGGTTGTGGAGCATTCCCCAAATAAAACCCATCTTTCTGCCTCTGTTTTCTTTTGTTGTCTTTTGTTATATAATATATAACTATCTACTTAATAATTATATTAGGTTTATTTTTAGTTAAAAATTTTATTAGTAATGATTTAAGTTGCATAAAATAGGGTTCTTATTGTTTTTATATATAAATTTAAGTTTGACTTTGGATTTAAATTGATAATTCACTTTAAATTAAAATTCTTAATGATTTAGATTTTGCCATTTCTAGTATAAATTTAAATTTTGTATTATTACTTAAATTTAAAGATTTTAAAATTTGGGTCCAAGATGATTAATGTATTAATATAATATTTCAATGGTGCGTTGTACCTCACGGAGGAATGAACATGAGATATATATCGAATTTAACTACGTATATACACTGGTCATAAATTTTTTAAAAAATAACGTAAAAAAAAATACACAATCTGATTTGAAGTCGTAATCTTTTATATATACAGGAAGAAGATGCGTTGTAATGGTCTGTTCAAGTTTATTATAAAAGAAAAACGTAAAAATTGAGTTTTGGATAGTAATTTTTCAATGTGAATTATTAATTGTACGCGTTAAATATGTAATATAAAATAAAGAATCAAATAATTTTTTAATTAAATTAATCATGAATTTAATTATTTTCCATTACTAGTTAAATTAATTGAATATGCAAACGAGTGAATAATTGAGTTATTAATACTATGAGAATGAAATTATGTATCTAATCCAATGAATTTCATAATCCACCATAAAAATTGAAACTTGAAACAAGTGTATATAGTGGTGGAAATAGTGATGACAAATGTAAGCCCATATAAGAACATAATAATAGTGACATCAAAGAAGACAGCATGCCATACAATTATATGTATATATATATATATATATATAGATAGATACATGGGATTATAATTGCAATTATGAATTGACACTTTATTAAGTAATTAATGATGATAAATAATTCATTATAACATAAATATATTTTGCTTAAATTGGATGAAAATTGAGTGAGCATGTAACAATTGAGACGTATTCTTCAAGATTAATGACATTATAAATCTTACAAACACAATGATGATGATGTTTAGTTTATTTGGAATAAATTTAGAATTTATTTTGTAAATTTAAATTAATTTTTAATTAATTATTAAGGTAAAGTAATAATTAATTTACAAATAAAATTCATAAATAAATATATATATATTTTTGCATTTGTCACAAAAATAACCAAACAAGCATAAGATTCAAACATCTTTATATTATTTTTATTATAATGTTTTATAATTAACTCCCAAAAAGGTTTAATCTTAATTAAAATCTTACTCTATTATTATATATTCCTCTTATGAAAATAATACTATGTTTTATTTTTCTCAATTAAATTTAAAATATTATTAAGTTGAATTTAGTGTAAATTTGTAAGTAAATATTATAATATTTCTAAATTTATTATTTCAAGCATATTCTTGAAGAATTTTTTTTTTTTTGGGTAGAAATCTAATTTTAACAAATTTGTATTCAAACATTTCGGAAGATCAAAGAAATTTGAATTCACATCTAAGACTTTTTGAAAATTAAGAAATTATATATTTATATATATGTATATATTGTAAGGAAATTGGGAGTTAATAGCCCACCACAGTGGTAATGAGCACTGGATTATGCAATATCAACATCAGCTTGCAACATATATATATATATATATGATATTACATATATAAAAGTTCACTTATATATATATATATACACACACATATGGAACGTGACGTATATATATAATCTTAAAATTCCATATAGCCGGATGGCTTTGACGGTTTGACTCGTCTTTTGGAGTTTCACAATTCACATTTTGATTCAGACTTTGGCGAGCCACGGGGAAGAAAGTTTTTTTGGTCAACCTTTTGCTTGTGGAATTCAATATTAAGCTGCTATATATAATATATATATATATATATACATATTCCAAAAATTAATAAACAAAGAAATATTTTAATTATATTCTCGTCATTCACTTTCAACTATAATATATATATATATATATATACATATATATATAAGCAGATAGTCATATATTGATCTAGACACCTTAACGTATGATTAGATGCATCAACTCCCTTCTCTTTTGGAAAATTATTAATTTCCATAATTTGCTTGTTTCTAGATGCATGATTAATTATATTAATTCACCATTTTGTAAAAAATAATTTTTGAGTTTGTGTAAGACACTCCATCTCTCCTTCTATATTAGGGTTTTGTTAACAAGTAATTAACCAAAATTTGTTAAGTAATTAATGGATAATTAATAAATTAAGAATGAACTTGAACATTAAAAATTGACTATATTCAAGGAATCATCAGCCATGGCATCATCATCCTAACTACTCTCTTCCCACAAGGCAAAAAAAAAAAAAAAAAAGAAAAAAAGAAAGACAGAAGAAGAAGAAGACTAATCAAACCAAATCAATGATATATATAATTATATGTAAAATTATTTATGACCCTTTAATATATATATCTAAATATATAAAAGTCTTTTCCTATACGTTTACATTTGATTGTAATTTTCCAGGCTGTAAAAGGATAAATATATCCATTTATGTGTGTATATATATATGTTAATCCTGTCATATTCTCATCAAATTGACGTTTAAGAATAGAAAGATCGTTTCTTCTCTTCATTATAAATAGAGGGTCTTCCTCTTCTCCATCCCATCCACCATTTTTTTTTGAAGCTTTCTTATTATTTCCCCCCTCCTCTTTAAAGGGTTAACGCAGAGAAAGGTAGAAGATACAGAAGAAGAACCAAACTCCAGCAATGGCCGCCAAAGTCTATATTGTGTATGCATGAATTGCTCTCTGTTTTCTTTTTACTCATTGATTTATTGCGTTTTAATTCATTGTTGATTCTGTTTAAAGGGAAGGTCCTAGTTATTTGGGTTAGTCCTTTTGGATTTTCCTTCTAAATCATGGGTTTTGTCTACATAACATCTTTTTGTGAGTGATCATCATGATGCTTTTCTGGTTGATTGCGTGTATGATCTTTTATGTTGTCTATCTGTTTGTTCTTTTTCCTGTGTTACTACTTTTGGCTTTATGAACCTTTAGATTCACATTTTCTTCTTATGCTTCTTGTTGGGGGGTGATCAATTGAATCAAATGATAAAGTACATTGAAGGGTTTGAGTAAAATCCATAAATCTTAAATATTGAACATAGAAATTTAAGTAAAATAAAATGCCTGCTTGCAAATCGTATGAAGTTTTTTTCATGGAAACAATGAAAGAAAATTAAAATAAAGAGACCCTGAAATTTCCCTTGTGTTCCTCAAAACAAAACCTGCACCATTTTCATGGTTTATTGATTTTAAAGAGATCCCTTTTCGTTAAGCTAGATGGACACCCTATGAACTGAGATTCATGTTTTGCTATGTCTGCTACAAACTGTTGTTGTTTGTTTCTGCAGATGTCTATGGGGATCTAATCATCAAATCAACAATTTTAACTAAAGAAAATGGAATGTTATTGTTGCATATTGTATAATGCTGTTTATTATAATTTAAAGAAAGTGATTGTGAAACTTGACCTACCTTTGAATTATAATTGATGGAGAAATCCCACCCCCTTGCTTTTCAATTGTATGTGGACCCAGTGTTCATCATTACTATATGGAGTAGTTTTTCTTTTATAGAATATATGCAATTATACTGAAAGTGGCTTTCATTTTCATGACCTTGGAGTACCTTAAGATAATGTTCTATGTCTTCTTCAATAGTACCTTTTCGATATATTAATTTCAGAATCCAATACCAGCTTTTCCATACACTGATTTCAGAGCTTCTGTTGTTTGTATAATTTGGATATCGAGAAAAATCTATATAAAAATTTTAATGTTTATAAAATTCAAATTTTACTATGATGATGATCTAACCAAACATCTAAATGCACTTATATTGGTGCATTGCTGATGGGAAACTTTTTGTGTCATTTTCTTGTACCTGGTGTTATTGGCATAATTTCTTACCCACTTGACTTTTGACTTTTCCGAAAAATTTTAATTTTCTCTTTCCCTTAACTATATAATGTATCGAATGATTAGAACAGTGTTAATATTTTCTTAATCAACTATTTTTAATTAGGTAAAAGGGTTTAAATTATAAAATTATTGTCGCTAAAGCCCTTTTTCCAAGTTCATTGAGGGGTGCATATGTTGATATTGCTTGGGTTCCTGTTACAGTTACTATTCTATGTATGGACATGTTGAGAAATTAGCTCAAGAGATACAGAAGGGAGCTGCAACTGTTGAAGGAGTTGAGGCAAAACTATGGCAGGTTTGTGATTTTGTCTCCAAAATAGAATCATGTTTGATGCATTTATATTCATTTTGGTATCTGGATATTCCAAATCAAATCAATGAATTTAGAGTTACTTCTGTTTGACTTGAAGAAAATTAACAATGTGAGAGGATATGATCATATGATCATTATTTAAATAAGTACAGCCAGTGGTTTATTGGCTTAGTGGTCAATGTGATTGAATTTCTCATTTAATGCTCAAGTCCCAATTTGTGCCCATAGCCAAACATATGTGTCTCTATTTAGGTCCTAACATAACTTAACTTACCAGTGTTCTGAATCCTTTTTTCCCCCCAGACATAAGTATGGCAGGCATTACTCAAGAAAGGATGTGGTGTAAGCTTAGTTGGCTTCAATGCTTGATGATATAGATTATGCACTGAGTAAAAAGCAACAGATAGTTTGAAGTTTAGTTGTTTGGTAATCATCAGAAATGAAAACCATGATTCTTGACAACTTGACAGGTACCTGAAACTCTTTCAGAAGATATTCTTGCAAAGATGGGTGCACCACCAAAGAGTGATGCACCTCTCATTACAGCCAGTGAGCTTGCTGAAGCTGATGGTATTCTCTTTGGTTTCCCCACAAGATTTGGAATGATGGCAGCCCAGTTTAAAGCCTTCATGGACTCTACTGGTGGCCTCTGGGGAACACAAGCTCTTGCAGGCAAGCCTGGTGGGATTTTCTACAGCACTGGCTCTCAAGGAGGCGGACAAGAGACTACCCCGTAAGTAGTTTTTTGTTTCTTAATCAAGTCCTGGAAGTAGTTTTACTAGTGCTTTTGAGGTCATTAAACTACAATATCAATCTTCTTTTTCCTGAAAATGCAGATTGACTGCAATTACTCAGCTGGCTCACCATGGCATGCTTTTCGTGCCAATTGGTTACACCTTTGGAGCTGGCATGTTTGAGATGGAAGAGGTGAAAGGTGGAAGTCCTTACGGTTCCGGGACATATGCTGGGCAGGGTGCAAGGCAGCCTTCTAAGCTAGAGCTTGAGCAGGCATTCCACCAGGGCAAGTACTTTGCTGGCATTGCCAAGAAGCTCAAGACAGCTGCTTGAGTTCATTCAAAAATATTTTCCCACCTAGAATTTTGTTGTTTTCAGTATGCATATTATTATTATTATTTTTTCCGTCATTCTACAATACTACTACACTATATTATGGAGTTTACTGATCGATAAATTATTATTTCTAGAATAAATTTGGTAATTAGAATCATGCTTCAATTTCTTTTAGTTAAAACTCATGTGAGGCTCATAAAGTTAAACCTGCATTTGGAAGCTTAGTTTGAAATGTAATTGCAGTTTGAATTTGAATTATCAAAGGCTTATGTATATATATATATATATATGCATGTGTATGTGTGTGTATAAATGCACTTAGATATATAAATGCTTACAGAGAAAGCACTTATAAGTGATGTCTTCTGAGTACCCTATATTCTCCTTTTGCTGCCCACACGAGTAGATGCTTTGTCAGACATGTGGCCCAAAACTTCAAGCTCTTTACCATGTCTGATACTCCAAAATCCAAATCAATTAGGTGGGTTTAGTTTTCAGCCACTTTAAAAAGTTGGGGACTTTGAGAGTATTACTACTACGATGATTCAATCGGTTAAAATCTAACACGCTACTCAAATATTATTTTGCGTGTTTATTATGAGTTAATAGCGGTCGATTCAACGAGTTTAAAAGTTTAACTTACTAATATGTTGCGTAAAACTACAATACCAAGTTTAGTTTCCGTCTTAACAAATTTATTACGGCTGTGGAGATAGAAACATTTTATACAAGCACAGGTCAATAGTAAATATAATTTATAAAATGATAACTGTGGAAATTCAGCCGCTGAGGCTAAAGTGAAAAAAATAAGGGTGATGATAAATTAAAAATATGAATTTATTAAGTTTTAATAGTAATTTCATAAAAACAAAATTAGAATGGGTTGGGCCCGACCCAGTCCGATTGGAGACCCGGTTCGATCTGACAATAATTTTGTTTAAATACAATGGGCTGATATACAGTTTCCAATTGGGCTGGGTTGATCCACTCTATTATACTTTTCAAAATATCTTACTTTTCTTTTTTAATATATATATATATATAGAGAAAAACTCTCTTAACCAACACCCTGACGTGGAGGGTAGAGTAAATGACATTTATTTAAGTATAAATTATTAAATTAATTTTCAAAATTTTTCTTTATAATTTATTTTTTTAATATTTTTTATTTATTTTAAATATAATTTTTTTTTTTTCATTTTTAATAAAAATCCCAAAAAAATAACTTTAAATAATTAATTAAATGAATAAATTAATACTAATAAAAACATGTTTAATATTTTTTTTATAGATTCATCAATTTAATTAATTAGTTAAAATTATTTTTTTAAATATTTTTAAAACATTCAAAATATGGTATAAGCAATTTATCTATTAAAATATTGAATAAAATGAGAAATTTAAAATAAATATAAAATATTAAAAACTAAATTATAACGATGAAAATATTAAGAACTAAACTGTAACAAATATCAAATTTTGAAAACTGATATGATAAATTATTATTTATTTTATTTTACTTTTACTCTCTCTCTCTTTAAAAAAAAATTATGTACTGAGTTTAATAAATATTATGTTATACATTTTATTTATTCATTTAGTTACTAAAAATTCGTTACGATTCAAACATTGAGTAATAAATTTTTTTAAAGAATTTTATGTGATTTGACGTGAAAATTTTTATTTACTTTCAAAATAAAATCCTTTTAAGTTTAATTTTTTTTTTAATAAAAAATATACATGTATATATAAATTCTTTATAAACATGGAGTAACAATAATTCCATTATTAATTTTATATATATATATATATATAGTGAGAAGATTACTTTTTTCCAAGTCATGAGCACTAAATTTGATATGTCTTTGATTTCTTCACTTAAAGTTGATGGGATTCCTTTCAATTTGGAGAAGTCAACTAAATGAAAGAAAGTTTGTGACAAAAGCTTGGAATGCCATTCAATAACTCATGGAAAAGAAGAAGAAGAAGAAGAAGAAGAAGAAGAAGAAGAAGAAGAAGAATCCAAATTAATAATTTAATTTCTAAAAGAAAATTTAACTTTATTTCAAAGCCATATGTTTCAATTATTCCATCTTTACTTCTTAATTTGACAAAAATAATAATAATTGAAAAGAAAAGTATTGAAAAGATTAGATTCAAAGCTTTGTAAAAAGAATTCAACCTTTTGAGCTATACAAACTTATAGCTCAAGTCATTTTTCATTGATTAGCCAAAACAACAAGGAAAAAAAAAAGCTACAATACACACACACACACACACACATATATATATATATATGTATGCTTTTCTGTTCTAAATTTCTTTTCTTTTTATTTAAATAAAAAAAAATATATCTCAATTTTTATATACCAAAATATGTCGGGACAATATATAAATCTTTTAATCAATAATACAGTAATATAATAGTTAAGAAGTTACGAATTTAAATTTCATGATAATATAAAACGTATAATTTTATGAATTTATTATGGGCTAATAGTGATTTGAGTATAATACTTGATTCAGTGATATTGAAAACTTAACTCAGTCGTGTATTAACGGAGTTGTGATGAACGTAATTGTAAATTTATTAAAATTTTACCTTGAATATAAAGCTTTAATTTGTTCCAAAAAAATATATTATTTGAAAAAAAAAATTACTTTTTTCTTTATAAATGAAAAGGATTCTCCATAGAAATTTTTATGTCCACCGGAATATATATATATATATCGTATATATATTAGATACATTATATAAGAAAAATATATGGTAAATAAAACTTTATAGATTTAAGATCTAAAAATAATTGATAATTTAATTCACTACATATTTAGCATGGTATGATTAAAATTTGAATTAAATCAATTTTGTCATTGTCCCAATTCTATTTCAGTTTGTTGTTTATAATTAAAAATGTATGTACATATGGCTTTATTTTCATATAATGGGAATAAGTTCATTAATAATTATAAGTTACTTACAATATATATATATATATATATACATATATAAATTAAGAAAAAAATAATAATTAGAATTAAAATCAAGTAGTACTACCACAGTGCAAACAAGTAGTACTGATCCGGATGCTTTAAACCGATCAATTCCAAGAGTCACCAAAAAGATGATAATAAAGCAAGAGATACCAAATAATCATTTACAATTCTTTTTAAAAAAATTAATATAAAATAAAATAAAATGAAATTTAAAGATATATATATATATATATATTTCATGATTAGTCACTTGTCATAGTGATTCTTCTACTTTAAGCTTCATTGGATTTTATCATACACTTGATTAATTAATATCTTTAAATTGATTCCTTAGTTTGATATTTTCTTGATCTACAATTAATTAGTATTAAAGACATGAATATATGAATATATATATCTTTGTTATTCATATCTTAATAGTGTATGATTAGTTTAATAGTATGCTTGAAAGCAACAATTTTATAAAATAGTTTAATTGGGTGATTAAGTATCTCTAAATTTTATATTAATGTAAAATTAGTAATGTGTAAACATAGGTGAAATATTAAATTAAATTTGTTCGTACGTGAACCTATATTCAAATGGGTATAAATCCAATTCGCTTAATTATAAAACAATTCTCTAGATTTCACTATGTTTTTAATTTTAGCTATTTTGTTAATTTTTTTTAATTGACATATACTTATTTTTATGTGTAACTATCAGATGACTACCATGTCATAAAAAATTAGAATAAAAGTGACGTGAAAAAAAAAGGTCAAGAAAAGAGAAAATAAAAATTATTTTTTTATTTAACAACTCATTCTATGTTCTATTATCTCGATATAAAAAGTATATTACAAGTAATTTTCAGTTGCAGAGTTCACTATTAGAGCCTTCAAAAAACTTTCTTTTATGATGGTCAAATATGATACTTGCCACGATATGCACACATATTGTTGCTTGATGTACCGAGGAGAAGTGGTGACCAAGGATCTGAATGTTAAGTGAGAACAATCAAAACTAAGTAAACCATTAAATTTGTCAGTTGATACGAAACATATTCAAGTATAGTATCAACTGATAATAGCCAATTATTATTATCTTATCAAGGTGTAGAGAGTTGTTTACATGATCTTTTAATTCAAAAAATATCGTGTAAATATCTTACAGTGATCATAAGTTTAACCTTACATATCGGAAATAATTTTTGTTCATTTAATGTATTAGTGAAGGGATGGAGGGAAGTCAGAGACTTGTGAGCATCTATCTTATTCCCTAAAGAAGGATCGCGAGGAGGTTGGTGCCAAATGTACCAACTATAGAGATGAACATCCAAATTAGTGCTAGGAGAAAAATATTTCTTTATGTTAAGTTATGTAAGATGATTTAATTTTTTCACTCTTTCTATTTCTAAGTGGTATGAACTTATTTTTTTCTTTAAAAAAACTAATAAGAAAAAGAGTTCGTCCCTTAATAAGTACTTAAAACTCAAAATCCTCAAGCAAAGGAATTGATACACTCTAAATAAAAAAAAAAGAGCAAAAAAAAAGAGAAAAGATAATTAGGTGAGGGAAAAGAATAATTGTTTAAATAGAAATAATATTTTTTTTTCTAAAAAATAATACATGAATTTATTAATATAATAATAATAAATCACCACTATATATTCTATAGAGCCAAATCCTTTCAATTTAGAAAAAACTCATACTAAAAATATATGTATAGGAGTTACAGGATACATAATGCATCAAACACTAGGCTCATATATAATAACAATATGCAAATTATTTTATAAAACTCTCTACAAATTTGTACAATAGAACTCTCGGAATTTGTTTCTTAGTACTACAATCAATTGTCACATAACGAATTCCGACACATTCTAGTTTGAATTAGTGTATTTTATGAAATTTTCTATTCCAATTGAATAAATTTATGAAATTGAACTAAATTTATAATGTAATCATATCATTAATAAGTTATTTTTTAAAATATTTAAATATAACTCGTTATATTTAATTCAAAAGAACACACAGTTCAACTATTAAGATGTAGATAAAATTACGATAATCAAATTAATTTTTGTTTTATAATGATTTATTAAATTTTTATAACGAGACGATAATAACGAGTAAAGACACGATGAAAAATGATGTTACATTTTATTTTTTTAAAAAACTTTGTTAATCATATTATTAAAGTTTTTGTCATCAGCTGGGTCAACGCATACATTGGAGGTCAAAACAAATTCTTCGTTTAATTTGGTTTCCCATCCTTTCTCTCAGAAAAAAATTTGGGGTTACATCTATATCCATATATATATATATATATAGATATATACACACACACACACATATACCTTTGTATATACATACATATGGCACACACACAAGAATCCGAGGTTTAAAGGTGAATGCAAATTTGCAGGCTTTGGCGTTATATAATTATAATGGAAGCTCATTTCAGCTTTTCTTTTTCCCTTCTCTCTCTCTCTCTCTATATATATATATATATATATATGTATTACACAGACACATATATATATATATATAATGTTATATGCATATAAATTAGATTATTATAAGAAGGAATGATTATGATCAGAAACCCTAAAAGCAGGAAAAGTGGGCCGCACTTCTGACTTCCACTAGCACATATATAATGTAAACAAATGAAAAAGTTAAGGAAAAAGAAACAATCAAATAACCTCCACTCATTTCTCCATATATCCCTTAAAATACAAGAATTCAAATACATGCATACATACATGCATACGTACATACATACATATATATATAAATAAAATCTCTTTATTTTCTTTTTTTTTTTTTTTGGTTTTTTGAACTTTTTTTACTTCATCATCATCATCAGTCCTAACACTGAGATATTACAAATACACACACCAGACAGGAACAAAAGGTTGTTTATCTCCATCTGCTAAATTCAGCTCTAGCAACATCAACCAAAGACAACATTGTCTAAATGTTCATGATTTTCGGCTAAATTTAGCACATGTTCCTGTCCTTCAATTAACCCATTTCCTTAATTAACACCTACTATATATATATATATATATAGTGGCTTTCCCTAATCATTTACTTGCCTACATTAGCTGGCCAAAGCTGATGTCTGTCCATCTTTGAAGGGTCACCTTCCTTTTCCCTTATCTCTTTCTCTCTCTTTCTCTCTCTTTTTTCCTTTGTTTTCTTTAGCTTTTATATATATATATATATATATATATATATATATCTTCTTCTACCTGAAAGTTCCACCAAAAGTTGGTGTCCAAAAATCAGCAGTGGTTTCATTGGCAACCGGGAATGTACTTGAAATGGGCACTAAACAAAGTCCTCTGCTTCTTAGGTCTTGTTTAATTGACCCTTCTGCCTCCTTCAATTTTTCATGACAACCCTGCAAATTATTTTATATTTTACTTAGCTTCAATTTACAATTATATATATATATAGATATATCGAGAGAATAAGATTCCTAACATAAAGTAAACCATATATATATATATGCATATTATTCTCTATTTAACAACTTAAATTATATCATTTATGAGACATTCAAGGAATCTTTTTCTTTTTGCTCCTTGGTAATGTATGTATATATATATATATATATATATATATATAATATACCTGTTGGTGTAGTTGAGTGGGAGCTCCTTGTTTCATGTATGGATTGCTTAAAACCTGAAGTAAACGTCCAAAAAAGAAATATATATAGTACTGTATCTGTGTTGAAGAAAATATATATATATAATGGAAAGAAGATTTAAAGTGGGACGTACACTGACTTGATCATGGAGAAACTTGATGTACTCAATAGCTTCATGGAGAACAGAAGCAGTATCAGTCTGCAAAAAGAAAAGGTAATTATATAAAGACATGAAAAATTTATTTACCAGCCAAGATTAATATTATGAGCTTTTAATATCATACAAACAAGAAATTTTACTAATTAATTTCAGATGAGTAAATTCCAAAAATCCACCTTTCCAAAAGGCGAAACCAATTGCTGAAGAGCAGTGATTCGGTCCCCTAACTTCTCTTTCCGAACCTGCACATAATTAAAAATGCCGTATATATAAATCTAGATATAAATATATACACAGATTCTCATGTCAATTTCTTTATAAACATGGAAGAATGGAAAGAATAAGAAAGAAAAATTATTTAAAGAAAAAAGCTTGAAGCTCTCATATACATGGGTGTGTAATATTATATAATGTTAAAAAGATTGATGGAATATTATCAAACACACCTTAAAAGTTGGCAATGGCGATGGTGTTTCAATTCTAGGCCTTTTTGACACAGGTAATTCACTGCTTGCTTTCTTCATCGCTGACCCTGAATCACGGATTTCCCCAGTGCTCAACTGAAACTCAACATATAAAAGGTTTTAGACCCAAAAATCCCAACTAAGATTCAAATCTACTTATCTTTTTCTAAGTAGAAATTCATATATTAATTATTTAGTTAATATAAAGACACTAACTATAATAGAAACAAACTAAAGTATGGTTCAAATCTAACTCACAACCTCTTATAAAAGAAGTAAAATAGCAACTATTTGAGTAAGTAGTGGTTGGTTATAGCCAAATTCTTGTTAAACCAAAGAATGGGGAAGTAAAGTATATAGGTGTAAGTTTGCATATATAAATAATACCTTGGGGGTAAGTTTGGAGCAGTTTGACTTTTCTTGGAAACAAGGAACAAGAAACTGAGACTGAGACGAGGGAGAAAGCCTGGGTCTGATTATGTCGTTTAAAGGCGCCGGGAAAGATGATGATGATGAGTTCCAGAACTGCTGCTTTGGTAGTGAAGGTTTCAACAATGGAGATACAGTTTTTGACCAATTAGAAGGAGACAACTGATCTTGCGAATTACAGTTTGTATAGGTTGACATATAGTTCATTGACCGGTTATTTAGTAGCTGATGATGATGATGATGATGAGGAGGAGGAGGAGGTGGAGGGTCATCATGAGTTGGTGCAGACTCAAATAAGGTTTGCAACAATGTCGAATTAGGGAACCCATAAGAGGCTGATGAAGAAGACGATGACGAAGAAGAAAAGTCTTGATGAAGATATACTGGCTTGAAGATGTTTTCGTTAATGGAGGATTCACTGTAACTCTGCTGCAACCTTGAAATACTATTCATGTCTTCTGGCATCATGGAACTGTAATTACTTTCAGATGATGATAATCTCCCACTATCAAAACAAAACATCAAATTAAAAAAAGAAAAACAATTTATAATAATAATTATAGTTAGAAGAGCCTTAAATTGACCTGCCTTTACCAAATGAAAGAAAAACAAAAAAAAAAAAGTTGATTTAAGTATTGATTCTTTTGTGAAGTTGAAGCTTTTTTGGACTACATACCATAAAAGTTTTCTAGTAGTATTGCTTCACCCATAAATTGATTTATAATCAAGAAACATGATATATAATACATACGTATAGATAAATGAATATAACAAGAGAGAATTGAATTGATTGTAATCAGCTTACAGTATGGATTGGTTCCAATCTGATGTTGAAGGTGAAGATGAAGAAATTCCAAAACCCATCATTTGCAGGGTGGAATCTGAATCTGCAGCAGCTTCTTGAAGCTTTTGAACATGGAAAACACCATCAGCTGACACTGAACTACTATTTTTCGTATTAGTGGAAGTATCAGTGACAGCAGTAGTAATATTAGCCACATCTTCTTCTTCGTAAGACGATTTGGCTTTCATGTCCAAGACGTCAAAACTTGACCAGAAAAAATTAGTACTTCCACCCATCAAATCACCACCAATTCCAACGGAACACGGAGAGGCGAACACGTTTTTCGAGGAATTCCACCATGTCTCACCGCAAACCCCGGCATGAAACTCTTCCCCCATGGCAAACTATATAGGACTACTACTGTGTGTATATATGTATATACAACCTTGTTTTTGTTTCTGAGAAGTTGAGAGATATAAAAGCTTTGTTGATATAATAGCTGTGTTCTATATATCTAACATGAAAGTGTGATATAATAAACATATGTTAAGATGGGTATGTAATGTATATATATATATATATATATATATATAATATGTGTGGAAGGGTTTGATGGGTACGGATTATATATATATATATATATAGAAATATAGATACATCACCAGAATTTAATTTCGGTTGACACTTCATTAGGGAATTGATTGGACAAATGAGAGGGAGAACATTTTGAATAGGGAGAATTTTTCTTTTTAATTTTGATTAATTAAATTTCTTCACTTTATAAATATAATATAATTATTTATGACTATATAATATGCGTATATATGTTTGTTACCTTCATCTTTCATCTTTTATTTTTTTATTTATTATTTAATGTAAAAGATTTGTATTTATGTGCGTAGCTTTTCTCGAAAATAATTATTTTATTATTTATAATTAATTAATTACCCCAACAATTTTAAAAAAATAAATAACAATAATTCCTGTTCCTTGTAAATAAAGGGATATGGTGTGATGATGATGGCGTTAGATCTGACTGCCACGTCACGGCATTGGGTCAATTGTGTGGTTGTGATTTGTTGAATCAAACGGTTGATATTCATTGGCCGATTAATTACTATATATAATGAAAAAGCTTGTGGGATAAACCTGAAAATTTTGGACCATTTGGGAATTTTCTATGGTCCCAACAAGATATGTGTGTGTATGTATATATATATATATATATATGTAATGACAACTTCAAGAGTAGTTATATTCTATGGGCAGGCAGAATAGTTTTCTTTTCTCCATGATCTTTTATATTTTATGTATTTAAATATTTAGAGAAATTATATTATAATCCAAATAAATTTATATTGTCCAAATATAATTAAATTAAGAGAAATATCGAATTCTAATCAAAATAAGTGTTATATATTTGTATATATTGTAGGTATCAATATATATAATATGCATTCAAATAAAATAAAATTTATGAGAGAAATATCCTAAAAATAAAGGAAATTAATTATAATTTGATCTCAAAACAAAACTTAATTAAAAAAATTACTCTAAATGAAAAATAATTATATCAATAATTATGAAACGTGGCCGAAATTTAATCTGTTGGATCAAAAAATTAAAATTTTATACGTAAGGACTCGAACTTCAATATCAGTAGGTACGAATATTTGTACAAAATAAGTAAAATCAATAAATATTATATTACACTATTATATTATATATTATTATAAATTTTGTATTATACTTTTAATCATTGAATAAAAAATAATTTTATGCATGATAATGTTAATAACGAATGCTAATTTGAGTACTTAACTAATTTATAATTTCTTACTTTATACGTGCCAAATTAATCTTGAAGATGCAAATAATTTCATATTATTACCCAAATTAAGAAATAAGATGGACATATGAGATTAATATACATGTGGTTACTTCTATATGTTGGTAATTATTATATATATATATATATGTATATGTTTGTGAGTGTGTGGGTATTTAAAGTATATATGTATGAGTTGACTTAATTAATTAGGCTAGAAACAAAACGAAGAGTTGAT